ACAAAATTACTTTTTGCGCATTTAAGAAAACATTTTGAACACTTTTTTATTTTATCGTTATCGTTTTAGGCTGCATTATATTTTATAAAACTCACGTGGAATTACTAAAAAACTGTTTTAAAATTGTTTTTCGATTATTCTATAAGATTCTTTACGAATAGTGTTAGAAAAATTTTATAGTAACTGCCGAAATGTTTATATAACTGTTTTGTATTGTTTGTGAAAGGCCTTACAAAATATGAATAAAGACTATAATGTTTTATAAAACGGTGCAATTTCCTATTTTTAGCTGTTTTATAAACACATTGAAAACTATTCTGAGAGAAATACAGTTTTATAATTTTTTTCTCCGAAACGTTTTCACAACCATTATAAACTATAAAATTGCTAGTTGGGCGCGGTCTGCAGGTGCGAGACTGGCCTCTGTGAGGTATCTTGCATCAATGCCGTCGTATATAATTCAATATCTAGCGTGGTATTAGCTGGAAAAGTAGTTGTTTTCCGACAGACTGTTTCCAACTGTGTAGGTAGTTGGGAAAGATGGATATTTCGAAATATTTTTTTATACGTATACCTATTATTTCTCCTCGATAGTTTTCACTTTTGATGTCTGTTAGTTTTGTAATATGGATTTTTTTTCCCGCTTGAGGCTCTGTTCACGAGATGGAGTTGTAACTAGTTAACACTCTTTCTCTCAGACGAACGACAGTAGTTCTCTGTATTTCACTGCAAGACAACAAGTCGAAACCAAAGCTCAGAACTCTGGTTTCGGCTGATGCCCTAAAGGAATATGTCATCGCCTTTACTCACTCAAGCTTGTGCCTAAGAACAATTGTGCCTAGTAATGCATTCATTTCTCAGCCTAGCACCACTGTTGAGGTCTATGGTGAGTTGAAATGACGCTGTCTAGTGTTGAATCGCCAATGCTTTGTTTTTGAGATCTGGTTTCCGTGGTTGTTTTGCAATGAATATACAAGTGTTCAATCACTTAGGTGCCAAACTCAGTAATGTAATCAGAAATTAGTATAGCTAACCAAATCCTCGATTAACTTGCTGAACTATAAAATGTATAGTATATTTCCTAGTAAAAATGTATGGTATATGTATGTATGTATATATGTGTATATATATATATGTATATATGTATATGTGTGTGTATATATCATATCATATTTATCATATTTATTGTATTGTTATCATTTTCAATTGTATAAATTGTATAAAAATCGTATATTGATTTTGAGAATCCTATCGTTACAGTGCTTTTGTATAATATGATTATATATTAAATATTCATAGATTGAGTTTATGTTGACCTGACAAATTGAATCTTCCTAAAGGTAGAAGTCATCGCCTATACATAGACAAACTTGCCGTTTAGGGACATCAGTTGACTTCAGTAGTCAAATACTACTTTTTTATCTTTGATACTCATGGATTGAGTTTTCTGTCTCCTTTATAGATGGATAAATCTTTGTAAGATCTAACTATTTTTTTTAATTTTCAGAAAAAAAGGACAAATACTGTTAGCAATCGTAATCGGTTGAACTCGCGGTCGAGGTTTTGTTTGGAACAAGGCAATCTGAAAAAATAATATTGGTTGTCATATATAATCAAGGACAGAGGACACATCTCGTTCAATAGTCAATGTCGAAGCTTGGCTCTGCAATAGACTGCCTTAGGTATCCTTGTTCATCTTTGAAATTCGTCGATTGAGTCTTCTATCATTCTCATAGAATTATCATAGAATATCACTTCATCATCACAAAATAAGTATTGAAGTTATAATATAATTACCTTCTTCTATTCGACTCCAAGCATCGTCCTGGTTTTCTTTGGCATATTTCAAAATAACGTCTACCAATGAAATCATTCTCCACGGCAACTGAAATTTGTCCTTTATTCGCTGGCATATATTGAGGAGGATTTCCGCGGCTTGACCTGAGAAAAATGAAAATGATGTTATATTTTTATAGACTATGAGGATTGTCAATTACATTCACAATTAGGTATCTGCCTCCATAGAATTTTAGAAAATTCAGCTTCGTTCTTCAGTTGCATATGATGATTAAGTATAGAATATTACTGAAGTTGTTTCCCAACACTAAACCGTTTTTCTACTACCTCGACATGTGTTTCGTTTAAACTCGGTGTGATCTTCCTGTTGAAGATGATCACTTGGTGATCGAAACACGTGTCGAGGTGTCGGTTTGGTGTTGGAAAAAAAACAGTAATATTCAGTATTACACCAAAGGTTCCAAATAGTGTATCACAAATGATGATTGAGTGATGAAAGTTTCACAGAAATAGGAATCCAAACCCTTGTACAAAAAAAAACTTACTAAGCATATAACAGTTGTTATCGAAATTTAGTGACAATCAATATTTACTACAATTGCAGTTGGTAGCAGTCGCCTTTCCAAGGTTACATAGCACATATGTGCTTTCCATCTGTTGGTTGATTTTAGACATTTTTGGACGAATTCAATACATTTTGAATAATTTCATGAAAGTTTTGTGTATAGTGTTTTATATAATTATTCATTATTTCATCTTAAGGCTGCGCTTGCATTACCTTTGACATGCTTTCATTTATACTACTTGAAAATCATTTGTGACATAGCCAAACTCATGGCCCCCATTGCCTTTTTTTTGTAAAAATAATTTTGTGTTTTGTTAATAATATTATGGTAAAGAGAGGAGGATAGCCTTTGCTAACTAGTTAGCAACAAAGCCCTGAAGTTATTTGGGATAGCAGCAAAAGTCCGAGTGTATTTTTATAACTAACTATATAATGATTTTCGGGAAAGAAAGGTTGTGACTTTCCACTTACCCTCTTTCCCAAAAATTGATGTCTCTCAAAAATATACCTTTTCATTTTGAATATACTAGTTGTTGCTCGCGGCTTCAGCTGCGTAGAATTTGGTTTGTCACATTAAGTTTCGTGATAGACCATTTTAAACCAATAGTTACAAATTTATTTATTAACCCATAATTTCAGTTTTCCAACTTCAAAACTGACGAAATTCAATACAATCTTTGATCTCCTTTTTTTCTCCCTTGGTGGTGAACATTCCTGATTCCCTTCCTTGATGCTTATTTACACTATGCAAAGAAACTATCTGCAATATTTCAAGATTCTAGGTTCAGTAGCTTAGGCTGTACGTTAATATAAGAGCGGACGACAGCTATTAATTTATATTTTCACTTCTAAAATACAGTAACTAAATAAAAATGCAAATTGCATTGAGTTATGAATAGCTCCGAGAATCGAATAATGTTACCTCTAGAAAATTCGTGAAACTAACAGAAATGTCAACGACGTCTGCCCTCCGCGTCTGTCTGCATTTGGCTAGATTTCTTGGCGATAGCGCTTAATTGCTTAGACCGCCCTTCTACCCCCGCGTCTTACAGTAGACGCGACGCGTAATGGCTTACCGCGTTACGAAAAATTAACCTTATCGTGATAACTTTCAAACAATTTGTCCAAATTCGCAGACTTTTATTTAAAACTATTCAAGATAAACAATATTACGGAACATAATCTGCATGTAACTCCAACGGTATAGCCAGCATGTAACTCCAACGGTATAGCCAGTGCACGTAGGGAGCAAGAATTTTTCCGACTTACTCAATACTGAGCGGATTTAGAGGAAACTATACGTAAATATAGATTATATATCAGAATGACATATAGGCTACAATTTACAAAGGTTTTGTGTAATTTTGGTCATAATAGAACGATAACGATAATACCGTTGGAATTACATGCAGATAATCTGTTTAAATCTGTTCAAATCTGTTTTTCCGTTAACCAGCTGTCGCACCCCTACGAACGACAACCCTCAGAAGTCGAAACTTCTGCGAGCTAAGGATTAACGAGGTCTTACCTTTCAACGTGTGATTCCTAACACGAGTTGGACGATAGCAAGTGAAGATCGATTGTTCAGACTAGAGCTTGAACCACCGACCAACACGGCAGTCAATTCGAGTGAGTGAACAAAGCACCCACGCCGAACCGCTTGGCTACCGAACGTAAGATTGCTTATCTTGAAGGATTTTAAATACCCACGTCTTATGTGGTAGCCACTATATGCAAAATACTGAGCCATAAAAAAATCAATTGGATCCTTTTTTTAGAATGCAAATACTAGAATATCTGTCAAATTTTTGTAAAAATTAATACAATTGTCGTTTGAAGTATTCAATATAGATAAACTATGTCTTTAACACTAAGTAGTTTGGATGAATCGTCCGATAAAATTGACTTCACGCAACGCAGTAAGCGCCTACTGTAAGACGACGGGGAACGATGCGCGGGGGTAGAGGGGCGGTTTGAACAATGAAGTGCGATAGCCGAGAACACGACTCGAACGCGGGTAGACGCTTGAGGGCAGACGTTGTTGACGTTTGTGTTAGTTTTGCGAATTTGTTCATAGGTAACATAATTCGATTCTTGAAGCTATTCATTACTTAGTTCAGTTGGCATATTTACTCAGTTACTGTATTTTTATAAAGCAAAAATATAAATTAATAGCTGTTGCCTGCTCTTATATTAACGTACAACCGAAGCTACTGAACCTAGAATATTGAAATATGCAGGTAGGTTCTTTGTATAGGGGTTCAAAGATTGTTTTGAATGTCGTTAGTTTTGATGTTGGAAACCTGAAGTTTTGGGTTTATACAAATATATTGTAACTATTTGTTCAAAATAGTCTGTCACGAAACTTGATGTGACCAACCGAATTCTACGCAGGCGAAGCCGCAGACAACAACTAGTATATCCATTTTAATAATTCGGACTTCCATTGTCTAATATGATTTAAATTGATTTGAAATTCCTGAAAGAATCTGTAAAAAATTAAAAAAAAGATTAGCTGAAAAATAACAATAATATTAAGCAAAAAAAACTTGTAATTTCAGTTTTTTTGCACTTTGAAATGCAAGAATTACAAATCTCTGATTCTCCTCTGAAGCAATACTGATTTTTACAGTACAAATTTTCTTGTTTGCTCTATTTGTTAACTAAGGTAATTCATGGAATTCCCATTTACTTCGAAATTATTATTGGATGAATCACATTGATTTTTTTGATTGGGTATGAGTTTATACGTTTCAAAGAAGCTGATATTCTTGAGTTGCGAAAAAATGCAATACCTCTTTTAATTTCATACCGTAGAGTGTTATTGTTGGGTTTCAGCCAGTTAAAGAAAGCTACTAATGATCCGGTTTATTAGGAATCACATGTTAAAAAGTAAGATCTCCTTAGACCATAGCTCGTACAAGTTATAACTTTTGAGAGTTATCGTTCATATTGCTATTGAGGTTGGTGTATTGAATATTGTTTTGACCTTCAGATATATTTGAAATACTATCATAGGAATGGAATACAATAAGTGCCAAGCCGCATGCATTTTCGAGGTCTAATTGATACCTGAAAATAAAACAAAATCAATCGGAATATGTAAGACGTTGTCCAACTACTATCAACTCCTGCTGCACCCATTCTTGATGCTTCTATGGTATGAATGGTACAATTTCTCCAGAATTACTCTCAAGTGGTATAATCTAGGTATTGTCACTTGATGTTTTCCTTCAATATTATTGATAGTCACTCTCAGAGCTCTTAATGAATTCCACACTCCTTTTCTGGTCCAGCTTTTATTGATCGGTATAACCTAGATTGATTCCATATTCCAACTTTGAATTATATTGCACCTCCCACTCATTATGTTCGATTTTCTTTTTGGTTTTCATTGATGTTGTTACTAACAACTTTTCGCCAAACTTATCATTGTTAGCTTTCACTTTATTTCAAATTTCAATTTCGGTATTCGATCAGCCTTCTGCTTTTCTTCAAGTGATTGATTTTGTAAGTATCCAGTGTTGTGTTCTTTACAATCAGCATTCAATGGAGTTATTCGGGACCTCCTTGTTCAAGTCTTTTTGGAGCTTTGTACTAGAACCACTTTTGAAAATGAACATGAGATGAAGGAGAGGAGAGCGATGAGAAACTCATAATATCGAAAGCAGCAGGATAGGTGTAATTTTACTGGTAATTCATTATAAAACTGCTCAATAATCATTTACCATTTTTTGTCAAATGTCAACATCTACACTGGGGCTGAAATGATTCGTTATATTGGTTTCAATGTCATGTGTTTTCTCAGCTCCATATGCCAATAAATATTTTTTACTGTGTCGTGGTATATACTGATCGATAGAAAATTTTGCACACTATACATTGATGCTGTTCATGTTCTTTCCAAATTTTATTGTTTTGCCTCTTTTCAGTTCATCACTATATGATGTCGTTGAACAATTTTCGGCCAATTTTTCTCTAAGAATTCAAATCGAATCAAAGCGCTGCCGAAACATTTACCAGGCATTTGACTATAATGATATCAATACATATCAAATTTCAGAGATTTCAGCCTCGAAGATGAGCCTAAAGTACTCAACCTACAGTATTTATGCAGTTTTTGATGGTTTGAATCGTATTGGAAAGGTCAGCAAACTCGAGAAGTGAGTGCCCTACGATTCTAAAGATCGAAGACAAAAATAGAGCAAATGAAGATTATGGTTACTCTTTGGTGATCAGCGGCACTGGTGAACAGAAAAGATCCAATTCTGCTTCACGAAAACGCCGGTTTATGTGTTTCGCGGAATAAAGAATACAACGCATGCTAAGGAAAATATTCGACTTATGTAACCTTGCCAGGGACTGCCATCAAGGGGAAGTACTATCTCTCATTCTGTGGTCGCTCCTGATAGATAGCCTGCTTGATGCCCTCAATAGAAGAAAAGTAGATCGGCAAGCTTATGCAGATGACCTTGTCATCTTGGCAAGGTCCACGTCAGGAAGGGTAGCTTGTAATATCCTCCACAGTACGTTGGACATTGTTCACAGTTGGTGTCTGAAGGATCACATGCCCGTCAAC